TATGCGTGCACAAAGTTCTAAACCAAGCAAACTTGTGCCATTGCACCTAATTAGATCATATCAAAAATCTGAACTGAAGAAACAATTGAAATATTCTATTAGCCTATTTCGATACTGCAGTTAAAATAACGCCAATAAAAAGAAAACTTGAATTGATAAAGTTCTTGGTTTCAACGCTATCTATAAATAAATTTAGCTTGTCTGTTTGTCTGTTTGTATCCAATAAACGTCAAAACGGCTGAACCGATCGGGCCCAAATTTTGTAAAAAAATATAAATTATTGAAAATCCGCGAATTTTTTTTTAAATCCGCAAAATTTTTTTCTTCTTTGTTTTAAAATGTAAAGAAAAAGAACATGTTCACAATTTAAACAGAAGATGGGCGCAAAGCGCCCTAAAAGCCTGGTGGCGCATATTTTCGTACATTTAAAAGAAACGAACAGTTTCTCGATGCATTCTGTAACTTGTTACTTGAAACTTTTTGCAACCCGTGAATGAAACGCGATTCTACAAATCACAAATATTCTTTTCATCTCTGCCCCCCCCCTCCCATCTTTACAATGGGCTAGCATGTCTATGTTAGTCCCCCCCCCCCTCTTAAACTATGGGCTAGATGTCAAATGTTTGTCCCAACCCATGTCAAATGCTATAAATTCCCTATTTTATTTAAATCATATATAGACCTATATATGAATTTTGAACATATACAGAGGACTTGGCACGTTCAGGCTATTTTCAATCTGTTCGTGACGTGAACAGTTAAAACCACTAAAAAAACTTTGACTGGAGACTGCTCGTTCTTTCTTTAAGAACCATGGACGGTTATTTTCCGTATATTTTCAAAATTTCCGCTCGTTAACGATCTCAATTTTAACAACGGCGTCAACAGAAGACATTTTGAAATCCAGCCATTAACGAGCCGTTAATGATAACATCATGTAAAATAGATAAAAACATCAAAATACATAAAATTTTATTTATGTTTCAAATAATTTTAAGTTGAAAAAAAGAACAAAAGTCGCCGTTATTTTCAAACATACATTTGTTATTCACTATAAACGTTAATTTTTTTTCAAGAACGGTTATTTCCGTTCGTTATCGATTTCAAAAATAAAATTTTTTGCCGTTTGTTAACAGACTCTTCCGTTTAAATCTAAAACGTGCCGTCCGTTAACATTATACAAATATACCTAAATATATTCATTTCATTTGAGGTTTTCGTAAAAGAAATTTCTTCCAGTGAACCTCCTTTGATTTTTCTATAGATCTATTGGAATTTTAAAAAATGCAAATTCCCGATTTGAAACATTTTTTTTCGACAGAAATCTTTGGAAAATTCAAATAGATTCTATAGTACAATAGATTCTTTAGTACAATAGATTCTATAGTACAATAGATTCTATAGTACAATAGATTCTATAGTACAATAGATTCTATAGTACAATAGATTTTATAGTACAATAGATTCTATAGTACAATAGATTCTATAGTACAATAGATTCTTTAGCACAATAGATTCTATAGTACAATAGATTCTATAGTACAATAGATTCTATAGTACAATAGATTCTATAGCACAATAGATTCTATAGTACAATAGATGGCAACGTGGAATTTGTACACTCTCAGTACAGCTGTATTCTGACGTCACTGAAGTGTCAATTCAGTTTTTGTGTCTGACAAAATTATTAATAATAGTGATAGTTTTAAAATAAAGTTCTTATCTTACATTAAAATAAGTGCAATTAAATGTCATTTAATGAGAGAAAATTTCGTTTTTCTTGTTATATTTGACACTAATGACGTCGTGTATAATTGGTCAATTTCTCTGTTGCCACCTATTGTACTTGATAATCTAGTTGGGAAAATTAAAGTTTAAATTATTCATTTAGAAAATCTTGATATAGTTGAAAAGAAGTTTCTAAGATCTCAAAACTTTATAAATTTATTTTTTATTTTTATTACTTCTTATTGTTTATCATTGTTTGATCTAGAAGAGCAAGATGAAAATTCAATATTTAATCTTTTTTTCCAATTCAAGGTTTTAAAGTGGAAACTACTTTTTTTTTACAAAAGGATGTTAAAAACAATATTTTTTTATTTACTTAGCTTTCTTTACATTTTCGTATCATTAGAAATATCATTTTTTTTAATTGATTAAAATAGATTAAATTTGGCGATCAGCTAAATAACTACAAAGGTTCACGATTAACTGATTATATATTTTTATCTAAGATACGTGGTAAAAAGTTATATGGTATATTCACATGGTTTTATTATATTACGTGGCTCCTGAAACTCCCCCTAGTCTTCTCAGCTGCCGCGGAGAATTATCCAAGAAGGACGACTTTCATAACCGCCACACCAGTTTAAAAAATATAATGAAGAAAGTTTGGAATTGTGGTTGCTAGGGACAGCCTCAGTCCTCACAGCATGAACCTTTCTATCTGAGATTTTATAATATTATTTTCCATTAAAGCGTATTGGAAAAACAACCATATAATGATATAAATGACGTTTGTATTGATATTTCAATCATTGCCAAAAGAAACTGTATCAATGGCCTTGTTAACATTTGTACAGGGAAAAATCCGCAAACATGAGCGCACAAGGTTCGCAAACTTGAAAAATTATTAATTCGCATCATAATTCTTTAGACAATAATTAAACATTTATGCATTTAAATTTTGAAATTTCTATAATGATCTAATTATACAATATATATATGTAAAACTTGATATTTCAAACTTAGATTATTCGATCTAACAGAATTATGAGTTTGAATTATCTACGGTCTCTGCTGTTGGGTTGCAAAGCTATGGGGGTTAGAAAATTAGAGTTTGTGGTAAAGACAGTTGACCAAATCTAGTGTGGTAAAGTGTAACGTTCTGTATAGAGTGTCCCACGAAACATGACAGTTGGTGAATAGTGTTTAAGATGCCTTTTTCCATCATTTGATTAGTTGGTTGATACCAAATAATAATAAATAATAACAACTATGTATATACTTTGCTTGTCTGTTTGTTTGTCTTTCTGTCTTTGTATCAATTAAACGTAAAAACGACTCGATCGGGCCCAAATTTTATGGGGGACCTCACAGGACCCCAGGGAAGGTTTATGAATTATGAATGATCAAAATTTGAAAAATTTGCCTGTCCATGCAAACAAAATTTGATTTTCATTAAATTTAAAAATCCGCGCGAACTTTTTTTTTGGTTTTGTTTATACAATGTATACAAAGAGAAAATGTTCAGAATTGAAATAGAAATAGGCCGAAGCGCCCTAAAAGCCTATTGTATTATATGGCAGTCATTATATAGTAAATTTTTTTTTCAAATTGAAATGTATTTTAGTAAAAGATATTTTTTAAGGAAATAAACGCAAAAAGTCTTAAATATATAATACAGTTTATGAAAGAAGACATTCAAAACCATTCAACAATCATCAACTGCCATTTTTCGTGGGACACCCTGTACTATAACTAAACTAAACTAAAGTAGTGGGGTAGGTCAAATAAGCCTGTGATAGCTGCCGGGTACAGTAAAAAGTCTAGCCGCGCCATCAAAATTGAAACCTATGGTTGAAACCGAACCATCACGCGGCATAGGATACGGTCCGGTATGGCCGGTACTTGCCGCACATCCTTGAGGCCTCAAAAATTGCAAGGTTGGCCAAATTTAGATTGACAAACTGTAAATTAACGAAATGTATCCACTCCAATTGATCAGTTAAAAAAAACAGGAAAAATCGAGCCTTTTGATAAATCCATGAATTGTCGTGGTTTAAAGCCTGCCATTGTTCCCGAATTCCTGACTCTATGCTTGTGTTTGAATGTATGGAGCTGTCTCTTTAATTACTAAAAAGTGCTGATGTGTGTATCATGAGTGAGTGTCTGTAAAGCCTGGTCTAAAAACCTGTGCCTGGAGGATTAAGAAGATAATTTAGAAAACAGATTTATGTTAACATAAGAAATTATCTTACATAAAGGTTTCCAATAAACTTTGATATTAAACATTTTGAGCAAAACTTCGCATGAAAGATAATTTGTATTGATCTTTGACAAATCAATGTAAGACATGTATTTTTAAATATTAAAGGGACTGTAAAGGAAAAATTAAAGGCTGAATCCTGAGAATCTCAGGAGTTGATTGAGGCATATATAAGAGTTCTATCTGATGTTCCTGTCTCGAGAAATTGTCACAATGTGTCAAAATTATACAAAACATACATATGTATGTAAGATTTTGTATAAGATTCGTAGTATTAAACAGATCATATTCAGCAAATACGGAACCAATCTGAAAACAACGATATCCCAGAGGAGCCTGAGAAACTCAAGTTTGATTCTATTATTATTAGAATTAAATATTTTTTCTTTTTTAATAGATTTAATTAATAATATTATTTATGCGTCCGGAACAGGTCACAGAAACACCAACCAATGGCAGTGCAGTATTATTGTCACGTGTCTCACGTACCAGAATACTGCACTGCCTAGGTCTGGTCACGTGATACGGACGTATATCTTAAATATATACGTGTTGGTATAATTTTGACACAGTTTTATGTTAATTTCTCGAGACAGGAACATCAGATAGATGTCTGATAGGTATCGTTCAACTAATGAGATTCTCAGGCATCAGTCTATACCCCCTTTCATTTTTCCTTTACAGTCCCTTTAAGAAGGGCTGATTTGGGCTTTGAAAGTGAGCTTGGTCGATGGGGAGGGGTGGGGAAGTAGGACCATGCCACTCCTTAGAAGTAGCCTAAAAGTCTATAAATGGATAACAACTCATTTTTAGAAAAATGTTAGAATTCTGAACTCAAAATGTTTAAAAAGCATGTTGTAAAAGATATTAAAAAAAATTAACATACGATTATAAGAAGGAGAGAAATGATGACAAGAATAATCAAAATAGAGTTTTTCTGTACTAACTGTATTAACCCAATTTACAAAATTAAAAATTCCAAAAATAATAAACTGTTGAAAAAACAACCTACCTGTGGAATGGTCGCTGATGATGGTATCGAGCAAAGTAGAATATACTCGCAATATTCAGAGCCATACCCATCAATGCTGTTGGGAGCATAATCACCCCTTCCAACAGGAAGATGAGATCCATCCTGAACATCATAAAATTATTTTGTGATTACTCCTTAAAGGGAGGGTTCGCGAAAAATGCGATAAAAAAGCGCTTTTGATTGCTACTAATCTTACTTCTATCTAGCTGTTGCGTCTATAAAAATCAATTTAATTTCAAACAAATCACTCAGATATTAAAACCTATAGCCATCGATTATCTTTCGCCACATTTGTATATAGTTTATATTTTATAATATTTTTTAATTAATTTGTTTTGAATTTGATTATTTCTCTTGTCGCTTGCGCAACTCTCTAAGAATGCCGCAGCACTCACATTTTTCGAAATCTGTTAAAAACGTTTTCTAAAAAAAAATATGCAATAAAATTAATTAAAAAATATTACAAAATATAAACTATATACAAATGTTTAGGCGAAAGATAATCGATCACTATAGGTTTTAATATCTAAATGATTTGTTTGAATTAAATTGATTTTTTTACGGTCTAAGTCGTATGTTGCAATTTTCTCAATTTGTATGGGCGCTACGTTCTTCGGTATGAGACGTCTTTAACAATTTTCTCCTTATAGAGCAACAGATAGAAGTAAGATTAGTAGCGATCAAAAGCCCTTTTTATCGCATTAAGCCTATACCCCCTTTCATTTTTCGCGAACACTCCCTTTTTAAATGACTAGATTCATTTTTACATAGAGTGGCATGTACGATTGACGAGGGTGCGTTTAAAAGAATTGTGAGTTAGATATCCGTGTTAAATTCAATTGTGATTTCTCTGCAGAAGTGATATTTCATTTAGGAAAATTACACATTTACAGTTTTATATCGGACATGCTCTCTTCAGATAGAAGGGCATTTGAAATTACAATGATTGTCCTACTAAGGTGTGAATTTGATGATATTAACAAAAAAAACTTTTAAAAAATGTAAATATCTTTTTTTTAAATTTTTAATCCTAGTTTTTAGGATTAAAAATTGTCAACATTTTTTGTCATGGTCATCGATTATTTTTCGACGCATTCGTATATGGTTAATATTTCATAATATATTTTTTTAATTTTTTTTAAAAATAATATTTCGCAGGCGCTGGATTTTCGAACATTCCTGGAAAGTTTGAAAATGTCGTCTTCATTATCAAAAATCCTCTAATAGGATTACAAGTTTTCAAAAGTAACTCTCAGATCATAAAAAATAATGAAATATTATGAAATATCAACTACATAGGATATATCGAAAAATTATCGATGATTATCTGAATGATTTGTTTAGAATTGATATGATTATTTTACGATCCGAATTGAATGTTGCAACTTTCTGAATTTATATGGACTCTACATTCTTCAGCATGAGTCGTTTTTAACAATTTTCTCCTTATAGCCGCAACAGATAGAGGTAAGATTAGTAGAGATCAAAAGCGCTTTTTTTCGCCGTAAGCCTATACCCCCTTTCCTTTTTCGTGAACACTCCCTTTAAAGGTAAGGTCACTTGGAACTACGTCTACTGTATCTTTACTTTTAAAATTATGTTAGACATTAAAAAGTTTCTAAAAGAATATTCTAAAACATGCACTGTCACTCTTCAAGGTCAAGCTAAAAGTTTTAAAAACTCAGCACACTTTTATTTTCTAGAGTCAATTTTCTTTTTAAAATTATTTTTCTTCCATTAAAATTAATCATGGCCACGACTCTCTTCATCAAAACTATTTTACAAATAAAGAAAGCTAGTTAAAGGGGAAAGTGTTTGAAGTTGGTGAAGTAAGATTAGAAAAAATCTGTAAAACTAATTTTGTACTCATTGTGCTAAATCCACTTAATTTAATCTAATCAGTCATTTCCTTCCTTCATTAATAGAGTATCCATCCCCCTTCCTTCATTCATTAATAGAGTATCTACCCCCCTTCCTTCATTCATTAATAGAGTATCCACCCCCCTTCCTTCATTCATTAATGGTGTATCCATCCTCCTTCCTTCATTCATTAATAGAGTATCCATCCTCCTTCCTTCATTCATTAATAGAGTATCCACCCCATTTCCTTCATTCATTAATAGAGTATCCATTCCCCTGCCTTCATTCATAAATAGAGTATCCATTCCCCTGCTTTCATTCATTAATAGAGTATCCATCCCCCTTCCTTCATTCATTAATAGTCCCCCTTCCTTCATTCATTAATAGAGGATCCATCCCCCTTCCTTCATTCATTAATAGAGTATCCATCCCCCTTCCTTCATTCATTAATAGAGCATTCATCCTCCTTCCTTCCAGGAGTTTGTATGTCGGAAGTTTAAATTTCAGAAGTTTGTAATACATATTTAATTTCGAATTTGTTTATTTCAGGTGTTTATATTTCAGGAGTTTAAATTTCAGGAGTTTATATTTCAGAAGTTTATACTTCAGGAGTTTATATTTCAGAGGTTTATATTTCAGGAGTTTATATTTCAGGAGTTTATATTTCAGGAGTTTATATTTCAGAAGTTTATTTCAGAAGTTTATATTTCAGAAGTTTGGATTTATTGAGTTTGTATTTCAGAAGTTTGTATTTCAGGAGTTTATATTTCAGGAGTTTATATTTCAGGAGTTTATATTTCAGAAGTTTATTTCAGAAGTTTATATTTCAGAAGTTTGGATTTATTGAGTTTGTATTTCAGAAGTTTGTATTTCAGGAGTTTGTATTTCAAGAGTTTATATTTCAGGAGTTTATATTTCAGAAGTTTATATTTCAGAAGTTTTTATTTCAGGAGTTTGGATTTCAGAAGTTTGAATTTGAGGAGTTTGTATTTCAGAAGTTTATATTACAGGAGTTTGTATTTCAGGAGTTTATATTTTAGGAGTTTACATTTCAGAAGTTTGTATTTCAGAAGTTTGAATTTTAGGAGTTTGTATTTCAGAAGTTTATATTTCAGAATTATGTATTTCAGAAGTTTCTATTTCAGAAGTATGTATTTCAGAAGCTTCTATTTCAGAAGTTTGTATTTCAGGAGTTTATATTTCAGAAGTTTATATTTCAGAAGTTTGCATTTCAGAAGTTTATATTTCAGGAGTTTATATTACAGGAGTTTATATTTCAGGACTTTGTATTTCAGAAGTTTATATTTCAGAAGTTTATATTTCAGGAGTTTATATTTTAGAAGTTTATATTTCAGGAGTTTGTATTTCAGAAGTATGTATTTCAGAAGTTTGTATTTCAGAAGTTTGTATTTCAGGAGTTTATATTTTAGAAGTTTGTATTTCAGGAGTTTATATTTCAGAAGTTTGTGTTTCAGGAGATTGTATTTCAGAAGTTTATATTTAAGAAGTTTGTATTTTAGGAGTTTATATTTCAGAAGTTTGTGTTTCAGGAGTTTCTATTTCAGAAGTTTGTATTTCAGAAGTTTGTATTTCAGGAGTTTGTATTTCAGAAGTTTGTATTTCAGGAATTTGTATTTCAGGAGTTTACATTTCAGGTGTTTGTATTTCAGGAGTTTGTAATTCAGGAGTTTGCATTTTGGGAGTTTTTATTTCAGGAGTTTATATTTCAGGAGTTTGAATGTCAGGAGTTTGTATTTCAGGAGTTTGTATTTCAGGAGTTTAGTCAGGATGTGTACACATTTAATTCCGAATTTGTTTATTTCAGTTGTTTATATTTCAGGAGTTTTTATTTTAGGAGATTATATTTCAGGAGTTTGTATTTCAGGAGTTTATATTTCAGAAGTTTGTATTTCAGAAGTTTGAATTTCAGTAGTTTACATTTCAGGAGTTTATATTTCAGAAGTTTCTATTTCAGGAGTTTGTATTTCAGAAGTTTCTATTTCAGGAGTTTATATTTTAGGAGTTTGTAATTCAGGAGTTTGTATTTCAGGAGTTTATATTTCAGGAGTTTGAATGTCAGGATTTTGTATTTCAGGAGTTTGTATTTCAGGAGTTTAGTCAGGAGTTTGCACATATTTAATTCCGAATTTGTTTATTTCAGTTGTTTATATTTCAGGAGTTTTTATTTTAGGAGTTTATATTTCAGGAGTTTGTATTTCAGGATTTTATATTTCAGAATTTTGTATTTCAGAAGTTTGAATTTCAGTAGTTTACATTTCAGGAGTTTGTATTTCAGAAGTTTGTATTTCAGGAGTTCATATTTCAGGAGTTTGTATTTCAGGAGTTTATATTTCAGGAGTTTATATTTCAGGAGTTTGTATTACAGGAGTTTATATTTCAGAAGTTTATATTTCAGGAGTTTATATTTCAGGAGTTTATATTTCAGGAGTTTATATTTCAGGAGTTTATATTTCAAGAGTTTGTATTTCAGAAGTTTATATTACAGGAGTTTATATTTCAGAAGTTTATATTTCAGGAGTTTATATTTCAGGAGTTTGTATTTCAGGAGTTTGTATTTCAGGAATTTATATTTCAGAAGTTTATATTTCAGGAGTTTGCATTTCAGAAGTTTATATTTCAGGAGTTTATATTTCAGGAGTTTATATTTCAGAAGTTTTTATTTCAGGAGTCTGTATTTCAGGAGTTTATATTTCAGAAGTTTATATTTCAGAGGTTTGTATTTCAGGAGTTTATATTTCAGAAGTTTATATTACAGTTTAGAAGTACATTTATTGCTTCTAGATATAAATACATATTAAATAAAGAGTGTATAAAAGGAGAGGAAGTTGAGAAGGTCTTCTCCGGTTCCAGGGTCCGACACAACTGATTTGCGGATTTCATAATCCTCTTTCAGGGATTTCATATCCTCTACAACAGGAGTTTATATTTCAGGAGTTTATATTACATAAGTTTATATTTCAGAAGTTTTTATTACAGAAGTTTATATTTCAGGAGTTTATATTTCAGGAGTTTATATTACAGGAGTTTATATTTCAGGAGTTTATATTACAGAAGTTTATATTTCAGAAGTTTATTTTTCAGGAGTTTATATTTCAGGAGTTTACATTACAGGAGTTTATATTTCAGGAGTTTATATTTCAGGAGTTTATATTTCAGAAGTTTTGTATTTCAGGAGTTTATATTTCAGGAGTTTATTTTACAGGAGTTTATATTTCAGGAGT